ATATTTATAAAGTGAGTAATTTTAATTTATTTATCTTAATAAAAGTGAAATATAATTATAAAACTATTGATAAAATTAAATCATAAATTAAATAAAAAAATTAAAGCACAATACAAATAGTGGATCTAATTTTATCAATTTTCACATGACAATCAAGTAATTTTTACCAATATAACGAATTATATATTTTACAGAAAACTAAAATTATTGATAAGGACATCAGAAAATATCACTTAAAGACATTTTGGGATGAATAATATGAAGATTAATTTTTAATATCATTTTTTATTTAAAATAAATAGTTGGAGTTAAATAATTGAATGTGTTGCTATACTTATTACCAAGAGCATTGATTAGTAAAATTTGTTAAAATATTAAGTGTAATATATTCTCTAACTGTCAAATTTGTAAAAGTGGAATTTTTTCTAGTATTTTGTAACTAATTCTTTATAATAGAGGAATATCAATTATATGTCTACAAACTTTTATAAATAAATTTCTTATACTTGTTTGGAATAAATTATTACCATGCTTTTATATAAATGTATATACAAGTGATTTATTATATTTTATATAAACTAATAAAAATATATTTCATATTTGTTCCAGGAGCTTATTTTTTTTATTAAAATTAACCTCCTATCTTGTAAAAATATTTTATGACTATATATAGACTAAGGTAACCCGGCCGAAGGCCGGTAAAAGCGGCCCGCAGGCTCGCCCCAAATGGGGTTTGGGGGCGAAGCCCCCAGTAATTTTTAAATCCCACCCCCCTTAGGAAAATCCTGGCTACGCCTATGATGAGCATTTATTAATTATTTTTATATTTGCATATAAATAAAAATACCAACATAAAGTTAGTTAATAAAATTTTCATAACCCTATATGGGTGAAAATTTAAATCCGATCCTAACCAATATCTGCATAAAATTTAGATTTATTACATCTTATGTTAGAAAGATTTATATATTGGCAACTTTTGTAACAAATAATCTATACTATCTAAATTTTTATTTATTTATTTAGATATCAAATTACAATTTATAGAGATGTGCGATTTGTCATATTCAATTTATTCATATAAACTATTTTTTAACAAAGCAATCATTATATAAGACATTACGTTTTATTTATGCTTTTGAAATAGTAATAAAATAATAAATAAGATGTGATGGCAATTGTCAAAAAGATAACCACTCCAATAATAACGCTAAGAGGGTTGATTTTGGTCTTTGTGTCATTCATCCAGAAATTAAAACTTTAGGCAGCAATCTAACGTTATGTATCCTTTTTTTTAAGAACTTTGTTAAAATTGGACATACTTTATAAAATAAAAAATATTAATATAAAGCTTTTTTTTAAATCATAAGAAATATAATGATCTTAAAAACGCATCATCAATATTTTACTGTTATTCATTCGTCATCCAATAATTTTTATTAAACTCAAAGACAAATGATAATTTTGTCGTTATATGTAATTTAGATTTTCAAAAAAATTATCAAAATGGCTGCTTATATAGGATTTTTTTAAAATCATTATAGCTGCATGTATATCACCAAATTTAGTATTCGGCTCTTTCATCATCTTACTCCACTCCATTCTAACCTCCTTTTATTTTGTTCATCAAAGAGAAAATTAAATGTTTAGATCAATTTTAATTGGGTATAATAAAATATCCAAAGGATGTAATATATTTTCAAATATATTTTAAATTATATTTACATTGTGTATTCTAAAATCTTATTCTTATCACATTTCCAATTCTGTTCCAGTCTCCTTCCTATACCTCTTTACTTTCTCACTCTTCCCTTTATACGCGTTATATCACATTTCATAATATTCTCATAATTCACTTTATTTTCTATTTCTTAACTTCGCCAATTATTTGTTTCGTTTCCCGTCCTTTCCCGAGTTACACTAAACTAACATTTATCTCTTCATATGTCAGGCTTAAATGAAAGATTCTTATTCCTCAACGCCATGTCTCCCGCACACTATTTAATCCCCCTTCCCATTCTTATTTTAACTCCGAATCTAAATGCGAAATGCATTCGCTTGTCACTGGTATATTGTTTTACAAACATTTCCTGATTCCTCTCTGGAAACCATTATAGAATCCATCTAACTTTTCCTATTAACTAGAGCTATGCTGATCCAACCAAATTCCTTTTCCGATCCAATTTTAAATCAAACCATATCTGATAAACCGATACTTGTAATCCGTAATTTTCTTTTATACAAAATAATTATAACTGCGAGGTGTAAATTAATGAAAAAATTATTCGTTTCTCAAGGCAAAGCAATATTTGATGTATTATAATGAATAATTGGGTTTATTTTATTTTTTTTATTACTATAGAAGCTAATCAACTCGTATTAAATTTGGGAAATGTTTATGGTTGATTGTGATCCGTTAAATTAGTTAAACAATACCATTTGGGTCGATTTTTTAAAACACCCTGATTAAGATATTAGCCAAAATAATATTATGTAAGCTTAGAAATTTTGTTTTTAGATTGCAGAAAGATTTGGATCTCTATTTACAAAATCTCGAGGCTTAGATAATGTTATTTTGGCTAAAATCTTAATCGGGCGGTTTATAAAAATCGAGTCGTTTAACAAGAATCAGTTAAATATTTATAAATTTCTTTTAAGGCTGTGTCCAAAATCTAAAAAAATATAAATAAATAAATATTGAAGAAAAAAAATAATATAAACTATTTTTTAATGTAAAAATAAAATAGTGTTTTAAATCATTTTTCGTCATTTACAAAAAATTTTAAATATATAATAGAAATTAATAAATTTGAATAAAAATTTATTCAAAAATTTATTTATTTGGGCAATTTTTACAAAAACTAGTAAAGTAATATTAAACTATTTGGTGGCATTGTTATTTTTCCGATTTATGCTAGTTTTTTTTTGTTTCTATTTTTCTTTATTTTAATTTTACGAAACTTTAAATAAATAATGGAAGATTTACATGTTTCATAATTATATTAATCTGCTCAAAATTAATAAATTTTGAGGTTTTTTTCAAAATATTTTGGACACAGCCTAAAATAAAAAATATTATATAATTATATAATGTCGTATAAAGACTTGCAGAGGCCATCATTTACTCGGCCCGGTTAGAATTTTAAAAAATTTCAGCCCGGGGTGGATTTTTTTTCTAAAAAATTTTTCGGCTCGGCCCAGGTTTTATATATTCAAAGCCCGGCAAATTTTTTTAATGAATAAATTTCTCAGCCTGACCCGGATTATTTTAAATATATTATGATTTTATAATTTTTAAAATATTTAGTTTTAAAATATGCGGCCATGCTTTAAAATAGGCCCAGCCTGGGTATCTTAAAAATTTTTTTAGGCCCGCCCGGGTATATTTAAAAAATTAAAATACGACCCGTTTTTAAATTTGTTTTTTATATGTCCTCTTTTTTAATATATAAAAATATAATAAATATCAATCCTGTAAAAAATAATATACTACTTATTATAAATAAATTATGGTTAATTAAAAAGCGCGCCATTTTTTGTCAATATTATTAAAATTTTGATAATCCATTGAGATAGCAGAAAAAAATAATTTTAATAGCTAGATAATAGGTTTTTTATTTACCAGAATTTAAACGATCCTTAAAATAACTTAAAATATATTCTTTTTAAAGTCTGCAATAAATAAGTCATAGGCTGTGTCCAGGTTAGACTTAATTTGGATACTTAATTGCTTTTTAGGATAGGCCAAAAAAAACTTTAAAGCTAGGACACCCTATCTTGGTTTGTTTTAAGTATTGTCATTTTGGTTTTTATTTTAAAAAAATAGTCGATTTATAAAATTTAAAAAAAAGTAAAAGTTATTTTATAATAAGAAAAAATCTAAAGCAACGAGTTATGTTTTGCGTTACACTCACTTAATAAAAAGAAACGTGTTTAACGTTACCCCTAGAAGAAGGTAACGCATCTTTTCTTCAAAAAAAGTAAAGCCATTAGTAAAAACGTTAATTTTTTGACGTTACCTTAAAGAACTAATATTAACAATTTATTTCATCATTTCTAGCTTCTCCAGCGGTGGCCCCCTCTCACCCTTCAACATCAATAAGGACATCTTAAAATACACATTTAAAACGAACAAATATCGAATATCATTGATGAATAACTACAAACCTTAACATCCTTTGGAAGCCAGGTTGTTAATCTAATTAAAAAGCTTGACAGAGCCATAAGGATTAAATCAGGAGACCCAAAAGAAATTATTTACTTACGTCAACGCATAGCAATTCAGATTATAAAATCTAATTTCATATGCTTCATTGGTTCATATCCCGAGCAGCCGAAATGATCTAGATTTTTTTGCCCTTCTCATTATTTAATATTTTGTTTTTCCATTCGCAAATTAAGAAATATATATACCTTTTTTTTCTCATTTATATTCGCGATTCTGATATATAAGCATTTTTTTTTCTCTCAAATACAAATTTCTGTATGAATTAAATTGATTTTTCCTGTATATTAATAATTGATAATTTATATCATTATTTAATATATTCATACATTTATAATGTCTCTATATTTTGATTACAATTAATAATTTTAATGTTTTATTCGATACAATATTACTTATTAACTAAAATTAATATTTATTTTATATTTAAAAAACAAATAAATTGATCTAAAATATTTTAAAACCCAACAATTAGTTATAACATTACTCAAATAAATTCGATGATGGATAAATAATCTATATATTTTCTATTTCGAGTCAGGCATGACTGAACGAGTATTATTTTTTGTTGGAGATTATTCGGACTTGAAAATTTTAAAAATAATTATGGGTCAGGCCTGGAAATCAGGCCCAATGTAGACCTCCAGATCTAACCGTCATAAAAATAAGATATTTAAAATAATTCGGTATCACCCCCCCCCTCCCCATGTTGACTTTAAAAATAAAAAAAAAAGTAATTCAATCAAAAATCATCGTTTATTTTCATTATTAAATATCGATATTAAATATTTTGCGATATATTTAAGAAGTCATCGGTAATGATTTTTTTAAAATAAATTTCCAAAAATAAATTATATCGGTTATAAAAAAACTATTATTAAGAAAATACTAATTTAATTAAAAAAATGATTCCTTTAAAAATAAGCTTTAGAAAAATTCTTCATTTTTCTAAACATTGTTATCGACATCTGAGGACGCTTGAAACCGGAGCGCATGACTAAAAATTCAGAATCTCGATTTTCCGTGAGGACCATCTTTCAAAAATTCATGACCTAATGGATTTTGGCATTTGCCACATGACACCTTAAATAATATAATATATATAGAGTATGAGAAATTTTGAAACAATAGATGCTACTTGTTAAATAAAAATATCTCAATCATTTCTCGTATAAAAATGGGAAACATGTGAAGACAGGTTAGTATACAAGAAAGATCAAAAAAATTTTGCTCTGGGAGGGGTCCAAACCCGAAAACCACCCCCGTAGCTACGCCACTGGGTGGTACTGTCCTTGAGGAAATAATATCGGATTCAATCACGTGATTCCGTTAATATATATTAAAAAATAAATTTGGTGTTTGCATTTTAATAAATTTTGGTCATTGTTTAGCAAATAATTATATGCTGACTAACGTTATTTATCATTACTTAATATTAAATTTGAATGTCGAATACCTTTTAAAAAAATTAACTTGTTGACAAAATTTTTAATTGGAATTTAAAAACTTTTACTATATAATGTTAATTTCTATTAATTATCCAAAAACATGTTAATACTAAATAATGGGTAATTAATAATACTAATAATATTATTATGTGAAGCAAACTGGATATTTAAGAATTAAAAATTATATTTCAAATTATGAATATTAAATTAAAATATTTATTATTTTTTTGGAACGTTCCATAGCTGTTCCGGCAACGTTCCCAGAATCAACGTACTAATTTATTTAGCGTTCCATAATATCCCAAAGTTCAATTTCTGGAACGTATCCGAAACGTTATGTTCCTTCCTAATTTTAACCTTTAGAGCACCGGGTCTCTCTTCAAATTTTGATAGGCTATCGCTATGAATTGTTTCGCTGAATGCGGGCCAAGGACTCGAATGTTCGAATTTTGAAACGCTTGAAAAAAGTTCGTATCCACATTTGGAACACAAATAAACCCCTTTAAAAAAACAAATATCACAAAAGTTTAAATAGTTTATTAATTCAGATTAAATTATAGATAACCTATACATTCTGGTAGATCGAAACAGGGCGGGGCATAAAAAATAGATTTTTTTTTATTAACAATTACGGGCTGGGCCAATAGATTAATACTAGCCTAGAATAAGATCCATTGATAAATGTGAACATACAATAATTTGCTTAACTCCCTAATTTTGCTATTTGAGTCCCGAATCATATTCCTATTAACTACTTAGAAAGAAAGTCAAAAGTCTTGAAAAATTTCCCAATTTAAATTGGGCCAAAATTTTGGTCCCAAAGGTGCTCAAATTGGAAGGATTTACTGTATTTTGAAGTCAACTATAATCAATGTAATTATTTCTGTATTGTTAAATGACCCGATTAAAATCTTAGCCAAAATAGTATTAGCCTCGAGATTTGGCAAATAGAGGCCCAAACTTTTCTGCTATCTAAGAGAAAAATCTCCAGGCTTATATAATAGTATTTTGGTTAAAATTTTAATCGGGCCGTTTATAAACGACCAATCAATGCTAATTTGTAGTTAGTCAACGCCATTTAAATGACTTTCACATTTTATCTAAATGCCTTTCAAAGTAAGATTTCATTATATGTATCCTTTTTAATGCATATCAATGTTAGGTTATCGGTAGACCTATAATTGGATACTTATGCAGGTCTGGTAAGTAATTAATATTAATGATAATTAATGAAAATATCATAGTTTAATTCCGGTTAAACTTGGATTTTGTCAAAATCCATATGATAGATCACAGACCTGTAAATTCGTTTCATACCATTACTTAAATTTTCTATTTTTTTATTTACAACAACTCAATTCAATAATAAAATATGAATTCAAATTTATTTTGAATAATCACAAAGGTTTTAAAAAAAATATCTGAACACTCTTATTATTTTTTTTGTCATATTATATCAATTACAGGTTAAAAAATTTAATTAAAATATGATACATAAAGTATTCATAATTATTCCTGAGGCATTAAAAACTTTAAGTTTACTTTAAATCAAATATTTCTTAAGGAGGTAAAATTAAATATTTTCAAACATAAAAAACAGAAATAAACCAAAAAAAAATAAATAAAATAATATCATTTTAATAAAATTTTAAAAACATAATTAGATTTTTTATTAAAAAATTTTTTAAATAAGAAAAGTTAGCTTATCATACTTATATAACACAATTAGACAAAATGAGGATAATTAAATGAATGGGATGATGAAATATTTTCAACAAAATATTGTCAGATAATTTTTAGGATAGTAAAAATAGAAGTAATGTAGTAGTATAGTAGTAATTAATATAAATTCTTAAAATAATAACATTTTATTGAATTAACAAATGCTATTAAGGTAGAGTTCAATCTTAGGGAAATATGATAGGGCATACAAGGTGTAGCATTATAAATCACTGAATTATTAAGTATAAAATACCCCACATATAATGTTGTTAAACGGCTCGTTTTAAAAAAAAAGCCAATAAAGCAAGCCTGGAGGTTATCTTCATAGGTGCCAAGGAAAGGTTTAGACATCTATTAACATCTCGAGGCTTGCATGATATTAATTTGAATCTTAATTTAAAATTGGTAAAATTGAGCCAGTTAAACACTATCTCCATAAAACAAACCAAATTTTGTATGAATTGATAAATTGAAATTATCCAAGCCCTCTACTCTCAGTGAGCTCCTGACGCTGATAACTCTAGAGGGCAAGGGTACCCTATGATGTAGGCATCTACCCAGTGTTCATAAAAACGAGTTCTGACAAAATTCAGGTTCAGAAATTTAAAAAAAATGGGGTTTAGTATTTGTATCAAAATATAAGAAATATATTAATAAATAAAAATGTAGATTTAATATTATCAACCATTACCATAGTGTAATGCTCTAACTTAACAACTTTCGCTATGGGACTACTTTATTTATTAATCAAACTCTAAAAATTATCAGACTAGAAGTTGGCGTAATCTGCTCTTTAAAATTTTTGAAAAAGTTTATTAGCCTGGTATGTAAATAATTTTGCAAAAGTGGTGGTCCAGCTGGTATAATTTTTTATGAAGGAAAGGGATAAATTTATCTATTGTAAAAAAAAAAAACTTTTAAGATTCAGGCCCACATGAAATATTTTGCATAAGTTGTCTGGCCTAATCCTAACATATTCTAATAAGCAGGAACTTCTACAAACTCCTAATATTTATATTATCCCCTTCAAATATTTTATCAACTTTCCCTCCTATAAAATTGAAAATAGTAAAAAAAAATGTAAATCCAAATCAAACTACCGTATTCATGATAATAGTCTTCATGACTATGTATACCTCCTCCAATTACAATTTTGACTCATACCTGCCCCTTCCATCCTAGAGTCGCTAAATAGGCAGATCTTTAAGCTTAAACTTAAAGTGAAGTAACTATACAATTGTATATCATAATTTAACTAATAAATAAAAAAATATATCGTTAAAGGGAAAAAAAGGCTCGAGGGGGGTTCGAACTCCCGATCTTTGGTTTACGAGACCAACGCCTTACCACTTGGCCACCGAGCCATCATAAAATTGTGTAAAAAATTTTAATAATATAATTTATAGTGAATTGAATCATAACTTGTTTATAATTACTCAAATTTAGCATTCATTTTTGATTGGTTTAAAAATAAAATATAGTAATTAAAACCTACCAGTTTTAAAGCAGTCTTTGTATTTTTCTTTGCCAACAAATTCACAGAATGACATTCAATAATTCTTAGAAATTATATAATAATTCGTAAATTATTTATAGAAGGTTAATATTTGCTATAATAATGTTAATAATTCGTATTCATATGATCGGTGAGTAATAAAATTTAATGTACAAATAGTTAATTAAGCATATAACGTTTTGAATATTTTCTAACCAACGCCCAAAATATTTATATATACATCAGTGGCGTTACTTGAAACTGGGCTAAGATATTTATTAAATCATTGTTTTATATTAATTTATTATATTTTATATTAACTTGCATTTTATTTTATTTTATTTTAACTTATATTTTATATTGATTTACATTTTATAATAATCATTCCTATCCTTCATTATATATTTTTTTTAATTATATTTTTTAACACATTTAGCTACTAATTCTATGAATTACGATTTCAAATTTTTCATGATATAATATTTATACAGAGGTAAAAAAAATTTCTGGCCCAGGTTTTTTTTTTAAAAAAATTTTCAGGCAAGGTCCGGATTTTTTTAAATTATATTTTATTTATTTTTGATTTTTACAGATAATAATGGCGATTTCAAATATTTAGTTTTACTTTTAAATATATAAGGTCATCCCCGGATATCTTTTTTAAAAAAAATTTCAGCCTGCATGTCTCTGATTTATTTAAAATTTTCAAATTTTCCGTCATATAATTTTAATTTTTGTCACTTTTAAATTATGGACATGGCGAAATTTTTTACACATATTGGTAATGACAACATTCAAGATCCTAGTGTCGTTTTACAAAAAAAAAAAAAATGTTTAGAAAATAATTTTAAAAATATTTTATTTTTTTATTTACCAATTAAAATTCCTTCCGTAATAAATACAAGTAATGGAACTGCAAAAGGAAGAATAATTCATAATGCAGATGAAAGTTAGGATATAGGACGATAAGTTAGCTATACTAATTAATAAATTGTGATAATTTATATTATATTTCATGGTAAAATTTATTTATGTGTCATATACATGATATTTTAGCTTTTTTCAAAATTTATACATAATTGGAGCATAATGATGAGCATACAAAGCCATTTTTTTGGATATAGATAATACTAGCCTTGAAGAAATTTATGTACTGCTAAGTATTTCATATAACAATAATGATTAATATATCTGTCGTAGATTTTGAATATTTATATTTTCGCATGCACATTTATTCAATCAAAGGTTCTAAAGTTTTGATTGGACTTGATATTAATCAATTTATTACTTTTTAGTTTTTATAACTGTGATTTTTCTAAATTCGAAAAGTTCTTTTTATATTCAAAATGTGAGTAATAATTACAATAGGATACTGAAAATATTAAAAAGACTTATCAATGATTATTATAATACACCCCTTACTTATCAATATCCACAAACTATTAGTGCTAATAAAAAGTTAAAACTTCAAAAAGGCTGCTCTCCTGTAATAAGTGAGCAATTCAATGGGTTTCAGATATTTATAAAAAGAAAACTTGCATCAGTTGTATATGTATACTAGGATTTTAAATAGTTGGTTTTTTTCGATCCAAAACCCGAGTCGAAGTAGTAGAAATAGACCCAACCCTAAGCCAGGTTCAAAAAATCGACCGCGATCTAACCCGACTTGGACCTGTTGAGCCGATTTATCAAGTTAACTCATTGGGCCGGCCCGATGGGCCGGCTCGATGGATCAACAAAATATATAGAAAATTAAACTAATTTAGAGTTTTTGATATTAGAAAGATGTTCTAAAAACTTTAGGTCTAATAATAAATTGGCAGTGCCATTTTACTCTAGGAGGAAAATAATAATAAAACTTTTTTATATCTATGTTTTAAGCCTAGTTAAAAGTTTTTGATACTAGACGGATATTCTAACTTTTAAGCGCAGTAATTAATTAGCACTGCCATTATATTTTTATGCCACGAGATTAAATCTTGTAAAAAGTTTTTGATACTAGAAAGATGTTCTAAAATCTTTGGGTTTAGTAACACTTATATTAATTTTGTTTTAAGTCTAGTTGGAAGTTTCTGATAGTAAAAAGATGTTCAAAAACTACTGAGTCTAGTAATAAATTGGCACTGACATAAATTTTAATTCACAGGGGAAAAAATTACCTATTTTTAAAACTTTGTTTCAATTTTAGTTAAAAGTTTTTAATACTTGAATGATGTTCTAAAACCTTTAGGTAGAGCAATAAATTGGCAGTACCCTTGTATTTTACACCACCAGGAAAAATAAATTATAAAAATTTTCTTAAACTTTGTAAGTCTAGTTAAAAATTTTTGATACTAAAAAGATGTTCTAAAACCTTTAAGTCTAGTAATAAATTGGCACTGCCATTATATTTTATTCCACGAAGAAAAATATATTTATATAATAATATAAGAAGTATTCATCGTCAACTATTACCGATTTAAATTAATTCTATTTAGGAAATAATAAAAAATATTTACTAAAAATTTTTCACATTTTTTATAATGTCATATTTTGTCATTTTTATATGAATTATTTATACAAGTGATCTATCATATCATTAAACATTAACTATGAAAATAATGGCATAATAATATTAATTATAATATAGGAAACGTAAACCAATTAATCTACCCCAAAATGATAAAATATTTAAACAAGATTATAAAGGTATAACTTTAAGTAAGTGTTTGGGCTATTTCATAATGTTTTATAAATTTAAATACCATTATTTTTGGACGTATCATGATTTTGACAAAAATAGGGCCAACTAGCCCACGCAAGATTTTTCCTTGTCTTCGGTCGGATAACGATTTACATTTTATATTTTATGCACTATTGAATCCTAAAAATCCCATCAGGGCGCCTACCAGGCATGACCCCGGGTCTATTTTTGAAAAATAGTTTCGGTTCTGGCTGGTCTATTTTTTATAAAATTTTGGGCCGAGCCATGTTGGGCTTAATTTTTTTAATATGATATTACAATTTGTCAAATAAATGCATATATATATTCTTGCAAGAAACAAGGCTCTAATATTTTTTTATTTGTAGAAAATTCTTTCTACCATAACAAAAAATATTCAATTTTTCTATTACAAATAAAAAAAATTCTATCCGGATCGGCCCTGGCATGACAATTTTTTTAAAAAAAGATTCGGACTGGGCTTGAAAATTAGGCCCGATGCAAATCACTAATGCACTCATCAGCTCAGTCACGTTTTAGCATTATAACTTTATTTTATTATTTCAACTTATGTATTTTATATTTTAATAAATAATTTTTATAAAAATTTTAAATAAAGTTTAACCAGTGAATTTATTTTTAAAATTTTAATCTTGACTTTTCTTTAAAAAAGGCCTAATATCTAGGGTTACCAGAGCCTGAATAGTGGAAAAGAGGACATTTTTTTTTATAAATATTATAAAATGAATTTAAAATTAAATTGATTATAAAGCAGTTATTTAATAAATTGCATTTATATATAAATTACATTAAATCTTGAAAATGATAACATTTTTATTCCAATCAGGACAAAATCATTTTAAATAATATTGCCAGCAGCATATAATTGCTTTTATAGATTTAAATTACACTAATCTCCATATTTGTCCATTAACTAATTGATTAAAGAAAAGAATTCTTTCTTGAGTACTGAAATATCATAGGAATATTTGACCAATTTTTGGTGAAGAGAAAGTTTTGTATATTCACCGCACCTCATTTTACTTAAAATAAACAATTTAAGGTTGCAAAATTGGTCAAAATCTTTCCCATTTAAAGAAACATTTTTATTATTCAAAAAATCTATAGACTTTTCTAAATGTGACTACTAGGAGTTTTTATTTCCATCCATTTCTTCTAGATATTCTGACCTAAGATCAACCCATTAAATGCAATGTCAGTACTATCTTTCAATGCATCTACTGGATTTTTTGTACATTTTTATTATATTTTTATCAAATATTACCTCAATAATTGATTTAATGTTTTTATGAAACATATACATCAGGGAATGGGCAAATAAAAGATATGCGTTTTTTAAAATGATTTCAAAGAGTAATTAGGGGATTGTTAATTGAAAGAAAGTACGATTTTAAGGCCAAACATTTTAAGAAATTACATTGGAAATAAAAAATGCATCGTATTTTTATGATATTTTATATTATAAAAAAAGTGAAAGGAGAAAATAAGAGTGGGTTGGGACTTGGGAGGGGAGTGTGAAGAAATTAATAAATAGTAAATTAAAATACTATTAAAGTTGAAAAATTAACATCTTTTAAAAATTATATTTTTACTAATAATTATTATTTTCCAAAAAAAAATTAGATATTATTTTATTTTTTAATTATATTTTATAAAAATAGGCTTGTTTCAGGTTTTTTCATAAAGTTTTGTAATAAATATTTTGCTGTGAGCAAATATATAAAACTAGGTTTAAAGTTCTAAAAGAAACAAAAGAAAGGACTTATATCAACTATTACTATTTAAATTTAAATTAAATTTATTACTATTATATTTTATCTAAAAACATTATATATATAAATATAAAAAAGTTAATTGAACATATTAAATAATCAACTTAAATAGTTAATATATAAAATAAACAATATTCAAATAAAACTAAAATTAACTATTCAAATAATTTATTTAAATATATAATCAATCAACATTCCCCCTCTTCTACAAATAACGAAGCTTCTTCTCAGCAGTCATCGAGAGCTTGTTGTCCTAGAAGTTTTTCCTGTTTCGATTGTACTCGGTTTCATCTTGGTTAGCGCATAAGTCTCAAATGTTTTCGTAGGCTTGATTCTATCACGTAGGTTTGATAAAATCGTTTATTAGAGTTGCGTGAGTTTGTACGTTTTTTGTAGGCTTGAATCAATCGCGTAGGTTTGATAAAATCGTTGAACGTTATCGTTGGTTTGATATCCTTATCGTATGTTGTTCACATTTCTCAAAATTGTTATTATCATTAATCCAGTTGAATATTGGAATTTGGAATAAATCGGAATATATAATTTGGAATAGTTGATCAAATCAAATGTATGAATAATATGCACGAATAAAATTTTGAATTTCGGAACAATAAAATATGTAATAAGGAATAAAATCCAAAATAAGGAATGATAAATCATAATGATTATTA